AAAATACTAAGTTGCCTGTAAATCAGGTTAAGTACATGCCCAGAGCTGCCCTAGGCTGATCACATCACAACCTGGCTCCTGCCCAAGTGTAATGGGGCTTGCAGAAACCAGGTGCTCCTGCATGCATCCTCAGGGATGGTGGTGTTGCCAGCACATGCCCAAAACACATCTCTATCAAGTCCCACAGTCTGCCTGAACTTCCCCATTTCTTTTAAAACCAGTCACCTTGTTAGATGAGAGCAGACTCACTGAGGTTGTGGTGCCCATAGGAGATTTCCATACCCCACCTCCCAATAAGCCTTCAGGTTATAGAGCATTCCCTGGTCCTTGCTGGTGAAGTTTCCCTGGTGTTGCAGTCAGGAATGGAGGGTTTGTTAGGACCAAGGAGGAGGGAACTGGAGAAGGACCCATATCCTCCATACAGAGGAGAGGGAAGCCCTCAAAGCTGAGCTGCATTCTACATCAGGACATCAGCTAAAATGGGGAGCATGGAGAATGCAGGCTCTTTTCGCTTTGTATGCAGTAGCAGCTGACTGGAAGTGTCAGGGATGCAAGTGCTCGCTCTCAGTTCTTTTGTCTGCCACTCAACAAATGCTTTCACTCATGGCACAGGTTTGGTGGCAGGGTTGAAAAACAACGGTGAGTTACAACTGTCCACACAGTTGGGACTTTGGATTTTTGTCCTCAGTCAGAAAACCCAGGACTATCTGAGGACAGCTCTAGCTGTTGTTCTGCTCTGGAAAAAAATGAGGCAGCATTGCAAGCATCTCTGGGCTGTGAAACACCACAGGGCAAAGGTGGCTGGAGCCAGGCATTGGAGCCAGGGAGAAAGTGGGATTTAAGGACCCTACCTGCACTTTGTGCTGCTTATTGGTTATCTGCAGGGGTGCCATTGCTGAGGCAAACCATGTTGGGTTGATCTCTGAAGCCCCTTGTCTTCTTGGTGCAGGAACAGAAGCCTTGGCCAAGGGGTCACATGTGCAGGGAGCACAAGTGCCTGCTGACCCAGGGCTCTGGACTCCATCTGAGGGGTGGGTTTGGCTCCATGGAGGTTAATGGGCACATTCCCAGGTAAAAACTTCTGCACCAGTGAACAGGTTGCACAAACAGAGGCCACAACCCCATGCTGGGCACCTTCTTCCTCCATGTGCTGAACGTTGGGAGATAGCCCCCGATCAGCTTCAATGCATAGTAGCTCTCACAGGGCCAAAACCAGTGCAGCCACGAGCAAATATTGATGAGGACATCTGAAACCACTGTGCCTACCTACATCCCCAAGCTGAGTATCTGGGTCCAGCTCTGAAGTCCTCTCCAGACAGCAGTGGCCAAGGCTGGGAGTGAGTGTGGGACTGGCCATGGAGCTGGTATGCTCTGCAGTCCTGGCTGCCCGCCACGGGGACTGATGGGTTTCTCTTCAGCTCCAACTCTGCTCACAAACCCAGGCCCTCCCAGGGAAGGCCAGTGCTGGGGGAGGGTGAGTGTGCACCTGCGCTTTATCTCAGTTTCAATTTCCAGTTATCCTCCCCACCCCCTCTGTCCATGAGCAGAGAATCCTATTCTTGCAGTGCACTGCAGCCTTACATTTTAGACACTTTCAAATATACAGATAAACAAATATGCTAAATTTTTATTTGAGGAATTTCCAATTTTTATTCAGTTGGCTGTATGGGAAAATAGCCGTTTCTGAAGTGTCTGGAGCACATGGTTACCACATAAAGCCCTTGACAGCTTTGCATGCTGTGCATAATGCTGACGGTTGCATGAGGCCATGGAAGAAGGCTGGGGCTCATCTCATCTAAGCTTTGGCAGCTGCCTCTGAGAGGTCTAGAGCAAAGACACAGGCACATCTGGAGGCAGTCAGACTTTGGGGGGCAGTTGTGACTTGTCCAGCAATGAAGTGACCTGTGGACAGCTATGGCCCAGCTGGGGCAGCTCAGTTGCAGACCTAGAGGCAGGTGGATGGGATGGGATGGGATGGGATGGGATGGGATGGGATGGGATGGAAAAAGCTGCTCGACGTTCTGCCTGACCCTGCCCCTTGTGCAGCACTGGCTGTGTTAATGCCACCATCTCCGCACTGGTGTGCCTTACATGTTGTCCTGCTTCCCTCTCCAGACAACTGTCAGAAGAGAATGCTAATCTTCAAGAATACGTTGAGAAAGAAGTGGAGGAGAAGAAGAAGCTGAGCAGGACTAATGAAGAGCTCCTCTGGAAGCTGCAGGAGGGAGATGCTGTGAGTCCAGTGAAACTCCCAGCCACATCATCCACTCCTTTTTATCGCTGCTCATCAGGGAACTCCTCTCCAGCAAAAGTCAGAACCTTAAGGCGATGATTTGGCACTGGCACGCTGAAGGTCCCCTGGCTTTTATGCATTTCCAATCTGCTAAATGTTACCATCCAAGGAAGTATTAACATCAACAGGCACCCAGGGTTCACAGCGCAAGCATGCTCAGTAGCTGCATAGCTTTACACTAGGCAGGGTACCCTTATAGTCCCATATAGGAGCTCTTGGTTCTGACATGTTGATTAGGGTAGCAAAAAAGATAGCAAAATGCTAGGACAGCAGGAAGTTAGGATAGCAAAATGTTTAGTTTGATGTGTTAACATTTTAACTATGGTTAGAGCCAAAAGTTGGAATATACTATATTAATGGTTCATCAGAATGAACTTTTGCTGCAGTATTTCAGGTTAGTTACAAATACAGTTCAAGTTGTGAATATTTCTGTATATGTGTCTGTGTTTATATACATGTACGTATTGTACCTTTATACCTATTTATAGATGCACACACATATATATGTAGTTGAAGATGTTCTGAATTGCATTTTTTATATTATTGGATACTACTAAGTGCTGATATATTTTCATTAGTCAGCATTTTTCTAACTCGTGCCTAAGACTTGTATCTAAACAAAATGCATTTCTGTTTAGCCTCCCAAGAATATTGATACCCAACCTAGAAAAAAGTTACACAGAAGTAGAAGCGCCTTCCAAACGACCACCAAGTGGTACTCTATGTAACATGAACACCAGCGACTTTGAAATTCTGAGACAGTACTGCCTTCGAAACCATCACCTTTGCATTGAACATCAGATAAGAGTATGCATACCATTCACTGCTTTTTAATTCTTAGCATCGATATGGTAAGTGGAGATCGGCTAGTTATGACAAACATGAGGGTTTTAGCAAATTTAATAGAGATTACTGGTTAACATTTTAGTGACTTTAAATCCTAGTTAAATCTTATCTTGTTTTACCTTGTTCTGGTTTGGATACAATCAAAATCTCTGGTTGTAAGTTCCCGTCCCATTTTTATTTATTTCAAGTCCCATAAGCAAGAAGGAGAAAATAAGTTGTTCATCCTTGACCTTTGCTGGCCAAGAGATTTCCAGTATTAGGATGAGATACCAGGCACCTGTTAGGGCTCTGAAACACCAAATAGAGCACAGTGGACTAAATGGGTGTAAATGAGGTCAGAATTTCTTTCCATCCACATACATATATTATTTCACATTGCTAAAGCTTACCCAAAGTTACAGAGCACTTTTACGATTCATGGAAAAGAGTGGCTAAACTACCTTTAACTTCCCTGCTTAGAAGCAAAAAAATTCACCCAGTCTTGGGATTACCTCCCTACCCGAGGTGGTGGGGAGGCCAAGGAGTGGCTGGGGTGGGACACGCTGAAGGGCCCTTGTGGAAACCTCTAGCAAGAAAAAAAATATCCCTGAGCATAATTTAAAAAAAAAATAAATCTGTGGGATGCTTTTCTATCCAGCTTGGGGCAAAGAGCCTGCATGCATTCCTGCTCTGAGCACCAGGGTCGAAGTAAGTGGGAGGCAGTAAGTGAAGTGAACCCCTGGGGTGCAGGAGCATTGCGGGGAGGGCAGCTCTCCTACCCGGGTGTGCGGTGGCACCGACACACCCTGTGCAAGCAGAGGTGGGATTGCACAGCCCTGATATACTGTTCAGATGGGAGATGTGCTTCAGCTTTCCTGGGAAGTACTCAGGATTCACAGAGTGCAGCTTAGATCCAGCTTCAATTGTTGTCAAAGCACCTGTGCCCTGTTACACAACATTAAAAAAAGGTGATTTTTTTTACTCCTTTTTAGAGAAATTTTTGTAGCCGCTTTTGCATGATACTGTGATACTGAGTAAATTGAGCATCTTGTTAGAATAGATCATGCCACACCAGCTACTACTGTTGAAATGCTTTATTAGATTTTAGTGTGTCCAGCAAGTACAACCTGAAAGTAAGATAGATACCTAGCGCACACACGCACACAAATCCCCTTCTTGCCAAGTACAATTTTAATCATTTTCATACTTGCTAAATGCACAGATATCTGCAATACCTAGTGCATTGTCATGTTTCATCCCACCAATACAACTCTGACACAATGAGATCATAGGATGATTTGGATTAGAAGGGACCATTAGAGATGATGTAGTCCAACACCCCCCCTTCTTCCTTCCACTAGCCCAGGTTGCTCAAAGCCCCGTCCAACCTGGCCTTGAACACTGCCAGGGAGGGGGCAGCCACAGTTCTCTGGGCAACCTGTGCCAGTGTCTCACCACCCTTACAGGAAAGAATTTCTTCCTTGTATCCAATCTAAACCTACCCTCTTTTAGTTTAATACCATTGCCTCTGGTCCTGTCACTACAGGCCCTGGTAAAAAGTAACTCTCCATCTTTCTTATAAGCCTCCTTTAAGTACTGGAAGGCCACAATAAGGTCTCCCCAGAGCCTTCTCTTCTCCAGGTTGAACAACCTCAACTCTCTCAGCCTTTCTCCATAGCAGAGATGTTCCATCCCTCTGACCATTTTTGTGGCCCTCCTCTGGACCTGCTCCAACAGGTCCATGTCTTTGCTGTGCTGAGGACTCCAGAGCTAAACACACAACTCTAGGTGGGTTTCATGAGAGCAGACTAGAGAGGGAGAATCACCTCCCCTCGACCTGCTGGCCACACTTATCTTGATGCAGCCCAGGATACAGTTGGCTTTCTGGGCTGCAGGTGCACACTGCTAGGTCATGCCCAGCTTTTCATCCACCAGTATCCTCAAGTCCTTCTCTGCAAGGCTGCTCTCAATATCATCATCCCCCAGGCTGTATCGATACCAGGGGTTGCCCCAACCCATGAGCAGGACCTTGCACTTGGCCTTGTTGAACTTCATGAGGTTCACATGGGCCCAATTCTTGAGCTTGTCCAGGTCCTTCTGTATGACATCCCTTCCCTCCAGTGTGTCAACCACATCCCTCAGCTTGGTGTCACCTGCAAACCCGCTGAGGGTGCTCTTGATCCCACTATGTTGTTAAGACAATAAATAATACTGGTCCTACTACAGACCCTTGAGGGTCACCACTTGTTACTGATCTCCATTTGGACATTGAGCTGTTGACCACAACTCTTTGGCTGCAGCCATCCAGCCAATGCCATATCCAATGCCCATCCATCAAACCTGTATCTTTCCAGTTTAGCAACAAGGATGTTGTATGGGACTGTATCAAAGGCCTTACAGAAGTCCAGGTATCATCCCTCATCCACCAATGCAGTCACACCAGCACAGAAGGACACAAGATTAGCCAGGCTGACTTGCTGGTAATTTCTAAGGTCTTCCTTTTTACCCTTTTTAAAAATGGGTGACATGATACAACCAGAGTTGTTACAGTGATGCTAATCTAAACTTTTCCATGCTAAACACACCAGAGCATATTACTAGCCCAGGATGGGCTGGCTGAGACCATCCTTTTTTAATTTATTCATTCTTTCCCTCTATTTCTGGTGCTTTCCTTATCACTTTGTTGGTTTAAATTCATATGCAAGAGATGCTTCCAGCAGTGAATTGGGAGTGGGGCTTTTATGGTGGAAAAATGGGACTGATCCCAGCTCTACCATCATTTGGTATCATTGCCAATCCCTTTCTTATCTAATTTTTGCCTCCCAATCCTGCCTCTCACTGGATTCTCCCTTGGCATGGCCTCTAGGGCCTGCCTAATTGCTAGCAAAGCTGCAGGAAGTCTTGCCTGACCATAAGGGACACAGCAACTCATCCCTATGGGTGTGTGAAGGGTGATTCCTTCTGGTGCAAGCCCAGAAACACGGACGTTTTTTCCCCCCAAAAAAGGTTATTCCTTTTTCCTGCTCTTCCTCTTTCTGGCCCTCCTTGCCTCTGCGTGCCGGAGTAGGTGTGCGGCAAAAGCCCAGGTTGCTCAGGGAGCAGCCCGAGTGGGGCAGCCGTTCCCGGGGGCTGAAGACCCCCGAGTGCATGGCCAGACTGCTGACCCCAGCTCTCGACAGGGAGCTGTTAACCATGCAAGATCACCTCGGCATTCCCAGCAGTGTGGAGGCCACATCCCTAGCCCTTGCTCCCTGGCCGTCCCTGCTTAAAGGCAACCAAGGGGAAGCTTTTGCTTTCAGGCAGCTTGAGACTTCCCAAATGCCACAGCCACTGCGGGGGCCTTTCCATTTGCCAGGGTAGGGTGGCCTTCGGCAGGAGAGGGTACAGAGCCAGCACTAAGCAGAAAAAGGTTTTGTGCCCCTATGTCTTTAAAAAGAAGCCATTTGATTTGGTTAATCTTTACTCAATGCAGAAGGCTGCAGCGGCAATAAAACCTGCTGCTGTGAAGGGGCTCCAGAGACTGGCACTGGGAGCAGATAACAGCTGGGGGACGGCAGGAGAGCTGTCAGCGAGCAGGAGGCACAGACTGCTGGGAGAGCTGGAGGAAAGCTCCGTTTTCCTGCAGGAAAGCGCCGTTTGGCCCCGCTGGGATGGCACCTCCTGCAGCTGCCGGCACAGAGGGGTTAACTCAGCAGATGCACTGCGCCAATGGCAAAGACTTGTGGTGATGGCAGGAGGGGTAGGGGGAGGAAAGGAAAAACTATCAAGTGCAAAATCAGGTATTTCACGTCTCTGCACTGATGGTGGTTGTGTCCCATGGACACGCTGAGGAGCCTCTGTACAGTTTCCCACGTAGCAGGAGTTCTGTGGTCCCGTTTACTATGTGGCTAATGATTACAGGAAGAGTTTGTATTATTTCAGTTATGATGTACAGATAAGTGTAATATATTCCTGATAATAAATACTTGCGCCAGCACACATATGGGCCGACGCATATGAACCCGTGTGTCCTGCAGTGTTTTCTGTATGTCTGTGCACACAGAAACTGGAATAAATGGAAAACAAAGCAAAACCCACTTAAAGGGTTACCCCACTAAGGTAAAGACTGAAGCTGGGCAGCCACTTAGCCTCCTGGCAGTGGGGCTTGCAAATGAGGGTAAACAATAGGCATCATTCATTTGGATATTGAGAAAAATGTTTTAATGCTGTACCACATAATTACAAGTGAATTTCCAGATTCCAAAAGCATCATCAGGGGAGAAATATTTACAGTGTTGCCAGGATAAAAAGTAGCCGCACACCCGCGCTGTGCTCCAGGGGCAAGGTTCACATTTTAAACCTTAAGGCTTTAATCGCTACATGAACTCAGTCAAAAAAAAACAAAAACAAAAACAAAACCAAAAACCCCAAAACAAAAAAATCAAACCAAAGACCAAAACAAAGATAAAAATGATAAAAAATAGATTTGCTTGCAGAACAAGCAATGAAACCATTTATCATGCCTGTAAGAAATTCTCAGAAATCATTAGGAAAATAGACCATCAAACAGAAAACAGAAATGTATTTACATTTTGCTTAATAATTAAAAATAAAAATATACAGACTTTCCATGGCTTCAGTCAGAAAAAATCTCTTTCCTGACATGACCCAAACTCATGCTAGGTTTCCTAGCACACTGCCTCCAGGCTGCCAGCGGTTCCTGCTCCTTGCACCCAGCACAGCTGGAAGGCACAATGTGCTGCAAGGGAACCCTTTGCTTCCCACTGTTGTCCCAAAACCACAAGTGACACTGCCCTGCCACGTCAAGAAGGAGAGGTGCCTCTCACTGCCTGGAGCCTGCCAGGTCTCAGACGAACCTCACGTCTCACAGTGTGAGCCAGGAGCAAATACCCTGAGAAAAATCGAGGTCTGGCTCTTGCTAGCAGAGACATTCCAGGATCATCTGGTTTCCAGCTGGGTGTCAGACACTCCACGGGACCCCAGTGGCAACCATAACGTAGAGCGTTAAGGCAGCCGGGGCAGGGTTTATGGGGGAGGCATCACTGCCCGAGTGGAAATGAATGATAAACCACGAGGCAAGCGGCAGCAACTGATGGCACCAGCAAGGTGCTTGGCCTTCAGCTCACTTTTGGGATGCTGGCGTGCCCACCAGCTGACAGGGAGGTGGCTGTGAGGGCAGCAAGTGTTGGCTCACTGTGTACATATAGATTTAGCCTTAAACAAGTGCAAGTTTTTGATAAGGGGAAGGAAGAAACAGAACCTGCCCTTAATGTCGGGCCCAGTGGATGCATCTATAGATATCCAAGGGTTTAGAAAGGGAGATGTTTTCTCTGCCAGACAGAAGAGGCTTCCTTTGAAAGGGGAGGGTGTTGAGAGGCTGCAGGGGAGGGACCACAGAGGAGCTGGCTGCATGAAAACCTGCACCACTTCTGCTCCTCCCCTTCAAAGCAAGGCCCTCCAGCCTAACAGTCCTGTCTGTTCCCCTTCCTTCCTTTGGGCAGAGGACAGTAATGCTCACTTGTATGCAGCTTTCTGGGAGGAGAATTTTAAGAAATCCCACTGGAATTCATGAGTATATAAAATGCAATCAGTAAAGAAGCAGATTTTACAAATACAAATATACTATCATATTGCTTTCTGGTCTCTGAGTTAGTACAAATGGAGGCAGCAGGCAGTGACAGGCACCCTCTGTACACTATGAATAGGAGTTTGTTTTCATCTAGGATGGACTAAGGGCAAGTGTCCACAGCAAGCACTGCCACCTAAACCTTCACTCTTCTAAAACCCTGGCAACAGACAGCAATGCGTGGTGTCAGCACCAGCAGTGTTTTTGCCAGCACCGTGCCCTGCAGCCCCCCCTACCCTGTCACGATCAAGCACAAACGGCTCCAAACCAGCAGCGCTTTGCCTGCAGCACGCACTGCCCTCCACGATGCCCAGATGGGGCTGGCGGGCAGGGGGACAGCCCCGCACCCCCTCACACTGCAGAGCTGCCTGACACTCAGCACAGCCGCTCAATGCTCGAACCGATGGCAAACTCCACCCCAAGGGACAGGAAAAGGGAGAAATTAAGCCGAAACCCATCTGGTAATGATTTTCAGTGCCCAAAGAATGAAAGTTATAAGCAAATAAGCAAAAGCTAGTCATTTTTGCACAAAACATTTTTTTTTTAAAAAAAAAAAAAAAAAAGCTGTTTTGACAGCAATTTTCCATTGGGAAAGGCTGGCTGGCTATGTATCTGGATTTGCTCTGTAACTGCAAACTGGAGCCCCCATGCTGCTCACCTCCACCCGCCATGCACTGGCAGTCAGTAGGACCCTTCCAACAGCTTCCCCGGAGGTCTCCTCTGAAGCGAACAGACTGGGCACAACCAAACACGCTGAAACAAGGTCAGTCCTTTGGGCTAGAGCCTGCCCTGGAAGATCAGGGAGGCCGTTTTTACTACGTCTGTCAACTTTGGCAGAAAAGGATCTATTTTCACGCCAAACAAATGCATTGCGTCTCCATTCCCACCTCTTCATACAGCAAAATGCTCTGCATCTGTACAAAATATTCTTGTAATAATATAACAACTGAACTATTTACAAAGGAAAGCTCAAATGAATGAAGGCATATCATCCACAATAGCAGGGTTATAGCAGCAGTTGCATGTCTTCAAAGATACCTCGCTTGATCTATGTTACATGCAGACATCAGCAGGGAGGCAGAGGATACAAAAAAAAAAAAAAAAAAAACCAACCTAAAAAAACACCCATTCAGCAAAGTCCTTGATGTTGTCCTAGAGGCAGTCAAATGTTGCCTTTTAGCTTACAAAATGTGCAAGCAAGGTGTGGATGCAGCCAGGAGGGGATGGAGCAGGTGTACACAGCTGCATCAAACTCATCACCTCCCCAGCAGTCTACTCCCGGGGTCAAGTAGCACCAAGAGGAGGCCAGGAGGTCCCCAGGTCCAGCTGGACACAGGGGAAGCAGGTAGACAGAGAGCCACGGAGACACCTTCGCTTCCCTGTCACTGCGCAGGGCTGCAGGCTCCCTCCACCTCCCTGTATCTGGTGAGTAGCAACAAAGAGATGGCAGCACCTGCCAACAAGGAACTGATGGGTGAAGAAGTCATGATGGAGGAGTGGAAGAGATGGGGCTAAGGATCCTCACCTCCACTAGCAAATTTGCAGCGGTGGCTCTGGAGCTGGTACAGGTACAGGTAATGGCACATTTAAATACCAAATCCAGTGACAGAAAGGTTTTCCTATGAACCTTCTCAGAGGAAAGGCAACTGAAGAAAAATTACCCCCATCAGGACTTCCTCTTCTTCTACGTGCTGCTATTATATGCCATAAAAGCTGAAACGAAGTTATGGAATATAAATACCAGAACAGATCCTTAAGTAGACAATAAAAATAAGTTAACATTTATAGTTAAAAAAAATACATACAGCAAGAATTCTGCATATTTTTAAATACTTTTCTTTGGAAACACACTTCCAGTTAGAATTCAGTCCCAAACAGTCATTGTTGAATGTTGTAACTGCTCAGAAGCTGGTACCCAAAGTAGGGAAAAACATCCTTACATTTTGGTACCCTCTGAGTTTACATATTCTCCCCCTCCCACCACACCTTCAGTGCCTTTCGGGCTGTGAAGTGTGGAGAGCTTGTCTGTGTTTAAACAAAATAGACCTCAACCTAGTGGCATTTAATTTTGATATTCTTCTTTCTCTGCTTGAATAAGATTTTGTATATGCACAAGGAGCAGCAGCTGGACAGGTGGTCAAGACCCAGCAGACCCTGACTTCATTTTGTGGGAGGAGCTGCACTCAAAACACACACCTGAAATGCACCAGGGAGGCAATGCACACATTGCCTTCACTCCTTCCAATTCCAACCCTGGCAAAAAGAGCCTCCCAGTGCACAGGAGGAGGCCAAGATTAAAACTCCTCAGCAAACAGAAAGGCTATAAAGTCTCTCTTGGAAACCTGAGACAGCCCACAGTCCGGCCGTGTAACTTGGGAGATGATGGCCCGGTTCCCCTTTCTGCTCACCAGATGTCTGGTAAGACCCCAGTCAAGTCATGCAGGGGCCTGTTCTTCAGTTCTCCATCTGAACAATGGGGATAAGAATCCATCCCTTCATCAGCTAGAGCCATGCTGACAAATAGATTAAAGATCGTCCAGTGTTCAGAGGCAGTAGTGCGGAGAACACCTAGGACAGCATCCACTCAGGTTGGGAGAAGGGATTTCTGCAGTATCTATTTGGGATGAGCCGTCCCTGGAAGTGTTTAAGGTTGGGATGGATGGGGCTTTGAGAAACCTGATCTAGTGAAAGATGTCCTGCCTATGGCAGGAAGGCTGGACTAGATGATCTTCAAAGGTCACTTCCAACCCAAACCACTCTGTGATTTTATGATTTGTTTTTCAGTACAAGCTGAAGCATGAATTTAAACCAGTGGCAATACATGGGCAGGGCCCACCCTCATGGTGCTTTAACAAGCCTTTTTTAGAGTAGTGAATTTGGATGGGGAAAACTATTAGAGAGATTTTTTTAAAAATTTATTCCTACAGCAAAACCAAGGCATTGCCAAGCAAACAGACCCTGGTCTCAACTTCAAATTTCCCAACTTTCACAACAGCCAGGCTCCGGAGATGATCTCCAGTCCCAAAGGGAAAGCTCCTCTCAGCAAGTCAGACCCTAGAGCTTTGCGGTGTTCAGGGCTGCACGCTCTACTGGGTCCAAGGAGCCCCTGCACACCCCCACGGCCCTCCCCTGGGCAGGGGGCAGAGGCCAGGCACTGCTCACAGAGGAAGTTCAAGACCCTGTGGATCTTCCTGTGCTTCCCCTTCGTTGGGCAGAAAGGCACTCTACCTGTCGATGCCAAACCAAAGTCTCACAGCCAAAGCCTTTGCTAACTCCATACAAAACTGATGCAGGGAGAGTGAAATAGGGCCCCTCTCGTCAGAGCTGGGCTCACAAGCACTTCTGCTGGCCACTCCACCACTACAGCCATACCGCTGGTGATTTCCAAGGTGAAGAGGTAGGACAGCACCTTGTCAAGCCATTCAAGTACTTGCACCACAGTTTTATACCTAAACCTAGCAATTCCTCTGCTGAGCATGTAGTCAGCAGAAACATCTGCTGGTGTTACCTGCACGCTGGCAAATGACCACTCACCTGACAAGCAGCAATCACAAACCCTCCCAGCATTTCACAGCAGCTGTGCACTTTAAAAAATATGAATACGTAGTTGAAAAAAAAAGATTAAATACAACAAAAACTGATCTGATACTTTAAAGAATGCAAATCTTGCAGATGCTTTCTTAACCACGTCAAAGTTGATGTTTAGCAAGAGCCTTTTCTTTTGTGCGTACACGTAGGGCACAGCTCACACTGGGTGAAGGACGGATCGGGTCTAACCCTGACAGTAGCACTGCAAAATCTGCTCCATGTTTAATCAGGTAGAGTGTCTGTGGGGAGATAATTCCCGGGGCTACTGAAAGAAAGACCTTTGTGAGGCCTGGTTTCATAGCAGCATTTAAGGTTAACTGGCACACAGAAGCAGTTTTCTTTCTACACACTGGGATAAAAAAAAAAAAAACAACAAAAAAACAGGAGAGGGAGGAAGGGAAGTGCATAGCCCCCAGATTAGCTGGGAGTATGGCTTTTTTTCCTTGTGATCCCTTTTAACTGTGCTACTAAGCAAACTGCAAGCTGCAGCAACAGCGCTGGGGAGTCCCACATTACACTTCCTTACTACATTACTGATTAACCAGATGCAGCCCGATTCAGGATCCCCACCACAAAGCTTCCTTCACTGCAGCCATTCCCCAGTTGCCTGTAAGCCAAACATGCAGTCATTTACAGCTGTCCGAACCAGCATCCGTGTTTCTCTCTGCATCTGCTGAGGCCGCGTAGGTGGCTTCCACACTGTGCCATATTCCATAGGCGAAGTAGATGATAAAGCCTGCAGAAGCCAAGGGGAGAGGGCACCATTAGCTCTGTAAGGAAACAGAAACCAGTACTAACACCCACTGACACATGTTACAGCAGAGATAAATCCAGCCTTCCTGACAGCTACCTTCTAGAGGACAGCCACTGCCTTCCATCAAAAAAAAGCCATTAACACAGGCACCAGTCTTTAAAAGACGATCTATTCAGGCCCCAAACAGGGGCCTGATTACAGAATAAACTTCTCAGTGAGCTCAGTGCAGTCTATTCTGCAGAGAGCTTTCTCTCTCCATTTGTGTGCCTACAGCCTCAGTCTCAGTAAAATACATCCACAACTGATGCTAATCTTACTTGTTTCCATCGTAAGAAATTCCCTGGGCACCTCAGGCAATTCAGCCTTCTCCACACTGGAAGCACCCTGGGATGCAGCCCAGCTCCTTCAGCTCCAGAGGCACAAGCCCCACGACCTGGACTGCAGTTCCAGGACAGCCAACAAAAACCGCTCTATGGTTTCTTGCTGGAAACAAGACCCATAAGATGGTTCATGGGTTGTTGTTTTGTCCTCACAAAGGTTTCATGACCCTGGATTTTAAAATAAGGCTTGAGACACACTGCCTAAATGGCTTCAGCTAAGATGCCAAGGTTGCCCAAGGATGATGAGAGTGCAGAATCCCTCCCTGGAATGATACAATGAAGTTATGATTAACAAAATCTATTAACTTTGAACGTAACATTTTTTCACGCTCTCAAACTCACCTATGAGCATCCAGACTGCAAACCGTATCCATGTGCCTAGGTCTAGTTGCATCATGAGGTAAACATTCACAAAAATACTCACAATAGGAAGAAGGGGCAAAAGAGGTACCTGAAAAAGAAAAAGGATACATTACATCCACAGGGCAGATCAGTGGTTAGGCAAGAACACTGCATCCCTTGTGAACAGGAAGCGATGGCTGTTACCAGCTCTTCAGCTGCCATGCCTGAGAAAAGGCAAGGTTAGACCAAAGCAGAGGACATCAATCCACCACGGATGAGGGGTGTGAACACTGTTGTTCACCTGTTTTAAGAATGGCTGTCCTTGTTTTTTGGTCTGGAAGGAGGCAAGAGACAAATTTTAGCAGCAATACTAAATACCTGTGGGGCAAAGGAGAGAAGAGGAAAAACCAATGACTGTATCATGACAGGCACCTACTGAAGACCAGGATAAGGTAAAGGGAATGTCAAAGGAGAGGCCTGAAGAACTTCAACCAGCAGGTACCAAGGTAATTAAGCAATACAGAACAACTTATCCCAAAGCAGAAGAAAAACGGGAAATATAGTAAGAGATAAGTGCAGCTGTACCAAGAATGCCTTAATGATATGAGATACAAAGAAGAATGAGATTGGTAAAGCCAAAATGCAAAGATCTGAATATAAAGAAATAGCACAGACATGTAAAGACAAAATCAGAAAGGACAAATTTTAACAATAGAAAGGTTTGTGAATATGGTGAAACCAAGAGGAAACTGAACTTCACTCCTAAGGAAAAAGATTTACAAAAAGAAACAAGCTGAAATATTGTAGGTCTTTCTTGATTTACGCTTCACAAAAAAACCAACATTTCTGGTGAGCAGCTGTTCACATCATCAGAGAAAGGGGATGGGCACACAAATTAGAAAATAGAAGAAGAATATTTTTCTAAATTAGGCTTTGTCAAGTCAGTAGAGACAAATAAAATTTCTCTAGGCGGGTGAGTTATATACCCAGAGGGTGTGGAAGTGATCTCTGAACTATTAATAGGCATGTCTCAGAGCTCTTGGTAGACCGGTAAGTAAGGTGTTTAAGGACTGGAGAAGGAAGACAAATTACCTAATAAAAAGAAATACAGAAAAACAACTGGAGAAAAAAACAGCCAGCCTTGGATTCCCCAAGACTTTGGAGAAAAATTACTCGACAGTCAGGTTGTAAATGTCTAAAGGACAACAAGGAGATAAGAAACCACCATTACAGATTTAGCAGTGACAAGTCTAATTTTTTTTTTTTTTTCCTTAGACAGGGTAGTGGCTGAGTGTTAAAAAAAGGAGGTAAAATATCCTGAGCGTAAGTCAAAAAAGATCTCCTCAGAAGCAAGTTCAGAAAATACAGTTTAAATGACAGTTCCTGAGTTTTCTGCTCCTGGATATTTCTGTTTCTATTTCTGGGACCATAACCCCAAGACAAGCTGCAAACATTACCTTGGGCAGCTCTGGATGGATGAAGTTAATAAAAATCAGAGAATTTACCGAAAAAACTGTACTTGAAGAGTAGTATGGAGGATGGGGTGAGAATCCAAACTAATTTAATAATCCAAAACTAACTTAATAAATTGGGGAAATAGCCTGAAATCAGTATGATAAAACATGACTTGCAGGATTATACTGGGGAAAAAAAACCATCACAGCATTTGTTTAATATACAAAGGATGGTGTGCTTGGACACGGCAGGAAAATGACAGAGTTCTTCATACATAAGGCTGTTAAAGAGAGAATGGTCATGCCTTAGTCTCCATGGGGACTACATGGGACTTAAAAGTGCACCTTCTTAGAGCCTTTTAGTGAGTACCTCTTTGATCCTCACACACAAGCTTGCTTCTTGAGTTCTCTCTCCTTCTGTAACCACAAATCTTACATGGCCCTTCAAAATCACCCCTTTTTACTTTGGTCTCTGTCTCTTCCATATCCTATAACCATCTGCTTTCAAAAGCACTGTCCTGTCCTTCCCTTGTGGCCACACCTCTACACCAGGTACTGCCCTTCCAGGTTCTCCTGGACTCCAGCACCATTTATATTTCCTTCCAAGTCCTCTACTGAGGCGTCTGACCTGACCATGTGGCTTTCCCTTCTGATTTCCTCCTCTTACGTCTCAGCTAAACCCGTTTCAGCCCCTCTTTCTGTGCCAAATCTCCTTCTGCCCCTGGGGCACTGCCAGGCAGCAAGCTTGCCACAACGCTTCTTCTGCTATGCTGCACTTTGCAGCAAAGCACCTACACTGACATATGAGGTTAGACCCCAAGAGGAAACCACAGAGGCTGAGCTCAGCTCTGGTAGGACATTCCTTTATGCAATGAGCACAGATCATGAGACGTTACAACCATATTAGCTGGAGAGCTCAAACTATCAGCTCACTGGCAGCCCTGTATGGAGAAGTTCACATCCTGTCTATGTTCTCTGCAAGTCCATTTGGCCAAGTCTCCCCTTCTGATACAGGCCAACATGCACTTCCTCCTTCTACCACCTCCAGCTCTTCTCAAGCTACACCTCCCAGGACACTCACCTTAAAGGAGAGCTTGGTTTTGCTTTCAGGCTGTTTCCATATAATGAAGCTGACAATGAGAACAAGGATGGCAGCAATAATCCATACAGCCTTTATCAGAATGCTTGGCTCAAGGGCAGTGAGGATACAGCTACCCACGATAAGGAAACCTGTGAACGGACACCAAAAGCTTACTGATTCTCTTTTTAGGAACAGGAAAAAAAAAACAAACTACAAAACCACAAGCAGACAAAGCAGAATCTGACAGCTTGTCAAACAAAAGAGTAACACATGAAAAAGCTAACTGTAAGAGATATGCCCTTCCCCTTATACACACACACACACCCCCCTTCTGTGGATTTATTTTCAAGTCATAAATTTAATCTATACATCTTCAGTTGTTTTGACCATTACAAAAGCTCATCAAAACTGTAGCCAGGATGTGAGCTTTCCCACTATGGTGGGTACAAGGATCTACCAGTTGGTTCACTGCCCAGCACTTACCAATGATGAAGGTTGAGACGTTCACCACCGAGCCAGAGAATTTGGAAGGGTCTGAATTTGGGGGACACAGTATGACTTTGAGGGAACATTTCTCCTCTTCCTCCGGCAGAAATCCTGTCTGTGACTCACTGGTGCTCACAGACTCATTGTTATCTGTCTCCTCTGTTGTCCTAGCCATCTGGTATGCCAAATTAGGCTGCTCTGGCTGATACCTAGAAAAGGGAAATAAAACAAAGATCATATTGGTTTGGTGCAGGGTACTGTTCGTTTAAAAGTCACACAGCCATGGCTGCACCCCAGATCACTATAGCACCAGAACAGGCACACATACCATCTACATCCTTCTTTTTCAGGTGTAAATCTGAGTACTAATGTCAGCATAACGTGAGCCAGTATGGTCAGCTATTAGCACCTATAGCTTGATACTAATGTCAGCGTTTTAAACTCAACAGTGCTTTTTCATAAACCCTGTCAACCATGTCACCAAAATATGATTCAGCAATAGCAGTGAGGACTGGAGAAGGAAGCAGCAGGGGCACAGACAGACAGTCATAACCAGGCCACCAGGTTATCTGTGGCAGTTCAGCTCTTGCATTTTGGTAAGAAGATGGCTGAACTAACAGCATCTATAACATCCCAGCAGCTGCTGGTCACACCCCGCAGTGACATTCCTGGTGCCCTGTCCTCCTCCATCCCCATCTCTTCTGCTAGTTTGTCTGCGGCCACATAGGGAAGAAAGAGGTGGAAGAACAGTAATTTTTTTGTTGCATGTGTGGGCAGCATTTCATTCAACAGGGCCCTGATGCACAACCATGTGGATCTATAAAGAGATTACTCTTACAGGCTCGGCTCTCTTTTATAGGTTTTGCACTTGACTCTCAGCTACAGGCTCCACTAAGAGCAAGGGCCATTTTGAAAGACATCTTAAAATTGCTCCTGTGGGAATGTGTTTGCAATGAGGGTATTTGTGAAAACACCGCAAATTGAGAAATGCAGTGAAATCCTTGGCTCCAGCCACAGCAGGGTATTAGTGGCAGGACCCTACAGCTTTGGAAACAATTCAACTGCTACTTCATCAGGCAGCCATCAGGGCAGCCAGATCACTGCCAAGGCTGCTACAAGACAGGCTGTCGACTCTGCAAATCTACGACGGGGAACATGCCATACAATGGGTACAACAGCTTGCAAAAATAAATTAAGAAGCCATTTACAGCTGTATGGAGAAGATGGGACTAGGAAACCAAAGGAAATATAAAAAGGTTAAGGAAAATCATCAGGGATTTTCATGGGGCAGGGTGGACAGCACAGGCACACATCGAAGGTATTACAGTACAGCACTGGCCCTTCACCTGCTGCAAGACAGTTCTGAGTTCAGTGCATTTGCTCTGAGCAGGCTCCATCAGACTTTGAATAAGTCATTGAACACAAAGGTATTCTTCAGTAACACAATGTTCAAAATACAGTCCTCATGGCTAGAGTGCTGTTGGTGCCAAGCATGAAGAGACTCAATTTTCAGCTTAAGCTATGGGAGCTCAGCAATTCTAAAAGACATGCACTAAGTCACTGATCCTGCAAACATATACTCATTTTTTTTCTGCTGCTAGACTTTAACTTGAGTCCTCTTTCAAAAGTAAGATGACTGAAACTGTATTCTCAGTGGGAACAAGCAAGATGACGATGCAGGCATCCAGGACCACTCATCTCTCAACCCTACTCATTGGCGTATCTCTCAGGGCACTGAGGGCTGACTGCAGCAGGAGTGGCATGGCCCAAGGATCAAACTTGGTTAGTTCAGAGGACCCCCCTGCAGATCCAACTAGCACAATCTCCCACAAGCTTAGAGAAACAAGTTTTTCACATGCTTATAACTGGAGATGTTCACAGTTTTACTGGGACCATGGAAACTATGAGGGCATCTGAGAGCTGTGTGGATTTCTGTGTGGTACAAGAGAGGTCATTTCTACAACCATACCTCAGTACTAACACGCAGGCTGCCACCAAGGAGTAAGCTAGGAGGGTCCCGATGGACATGAGATCCACAAGATCTTTCAAGTCGAAGAGAAAGGCCATAACAGCTGTAGGAGGAGAGGAAGGTGAGAGGGAAGAAAAATCAGTAACATGGAGGAATATGTGCATCTCAGGAGCGTTAATGACAATACAGCACACATGTGACTGTTGCTCAGGCCTTGGCAGGGGACCTTAAGCTGTCCTGAGATGAGGAGGCAGGACTTGGCGCATGGCCTTGCAGGCTGTCCCAGCACAACCTCCCTAGCTGGAACCAGAGGAAACATTTACTACAATAAACGCTGGCCTGTTTGTATTCACATGGGCATGTTCACCCAACCATCAGCAATGAGCAGGTGTTTAAGCCTTGATGCTGGAGTCCCCCAGCACAGCTGCAGCACCCCTAAGGTCACCATTATCTCCTGGAAGTAGCTGGAGGGAACAGAGGGCAGGCAGCACCTCACTCTGGTGTCTCAGCTCAGCTGGAGCAAAACCAGGCTTGTGCACACAAAGGAACCAAGCATCGAGGGCATCTTAAGGTAGCATGCCTCGTCGTGGGGGTTTCCAGAAAAAGGTAGACAGCCATCCCCTAGGGATTACCCTGCTTACACACCCTCACCAGGCAACCCCTGCTTGTACAGAACTTTGTTTGAAGACCTTCAGAAGGAGAAGTGAGTAAGTAGAGGACAAATGACATAGTCAAGACATTCAGGTGATGTCACCAGTCATAAGAGAGTGCAGGGATCTGAGCTAAGCCTGGCCCAGGCTGTTCTCAATGCACCACCTGGAACCCAACAACCAACCCAACCTTCAAGCTCAGCTGGCAAGTGCTGTCCCTGCAGCTTCATGTATGCTTTGGTCCTAGGCACTACAGACCACTCTAAGGAGACCTGGAGAAACCGTGAAGCACTTTTTTTTACTTTATTTTGCTCTTTTTTTCCCCCTGTCTAGACCCAAGGACACATGAAGAGAAGCAGCTGTGAGGAGGCTCCACGAGTCCTAGTGGCAGTAGCTGAGTGCTTTCACAGGAGCTCAGAGCCCACAGTGGCAGTCTGGCAGCAACTCCTCACCAAAGGCAGTAGCTGAGTGCTTTCACAGGAGCTCAGAGCCCACAGTGGCAGTCTGGCAGCAACTCCTCACCAAAGGCAGTAGCTGAGTGCTTTCACAATGGCTCATCCTGCATTTGCAGCAGAAGGTGAAGAGGAAGCAGCAAGGCTCTCCTCTTCACTAGGCATCACGAGGAAGGGGGCGGCTGAGAGAAGAGGGTAAGCTGCTCATCCTTGCTGTCTGGGAGGTATAGTTCCCATATTCCTGGGGGTCAGGAGAGGAAAAGGGAGAAGAGGACAGCTGCCAGCTGTGACTGATTAACAAACACCAGTGCCATAGGAGCCATCTGCCTGTCTTCGGCTGCTCTGGCGTCTTCTGCCGAGCTGCTACCCACAGGCGGCGCAGTGCCTTCAGCCAAGCCAGGCCAACAGCCGCAAGGATGCTGAGGCACCACTGGCTGCCACATTGCAGGGGGGTAATTATTGTTAAGACCAGCAGAGCACGCAGGGAGTAGATGAAGGTGATTCCTGGCCTAAGACAGGATGGCAGCAATGAGCTCCAAGAAAGAGGGACAGGCACACAGTGAGTTATTTATGCTCATCCTGCCCCTCCAGGGCATGTCTTGGAAACCCAGGGCATCCTCTGGGATGTCATGCTGTGCGATACATCCAATTAAGAAGTTGGGCTAGAGTCAGGCAGACTTATCTGCCTCTAGGATGAACTTGTCTCCTTTCCACACATTCATATAAGTCTTTGGATCTTACCTGCAATGGCCCCTGATGTCACTGTTGCAATTACTGGAGTTTTTCTCTTCTCATTGACTTTAGCCAAAGTTTTAAAGAGAAGTCCATCTTCTGCCATAGCATAAATTATTCGAGGCATTGGAAACATGGAGCCAAGGAGACTAAGGACACAGAAGGGGGAAATAATCTACTTTTATCACCTCCTGCTGAACACAGACACACAAATGAAAGCAAATTTACGGCAGTACAAACACAGAATAGGTGGCTTTCGTTCACTTCAACTTCTTCAAGGGCTCCTTCTGCACACCCATGTTACTGATAGCTGTCAACTGAGGTGCAGCCCTCAGATTTGGATACCTAAACTTAGCCATGGACATGAAAACAGCTTGACTTTCAGAGTAGCAAAAGAGCTGTAGCTTCTATGAGCCTCTATGAGTTTCTCACCTAACTGAATTATGCCTAAATTGATCTGAAACAATGGCCTCCAAGAGTGCAGGAGAATATGACGTATTCTGCCTCCAGCCTGCCCAGATGGCTGTCCAGCAGGCAAGCGGCAGACAGACGGCCCTGGATATGGTAAGACCCATATGCTCCAGAAGATGCCCCCTGCACTACCTGACACAAGTCTACTCTCCACCCAGCAGGCCAGGACGCCTTGTAGGCAAACCATGCTTGCACTGCAGAGTTGCCTCTATGACTTAGTCACTCAATCCAGATTTATATTCCAAAGATGTACCTCCTGGGTCTGCTGCTAAAATGGGAGTTTCTGACATGATGCTGGTCATGTCCATCTGTGAAATCCATCACAGGGTGAAATCCTGGTCCTTTTGAAGTCAACAGCTCTGAATTTCATTCCTGGTCTCAGCTCCCTTGGCCCAGGGGAACACAGTGAAGGCAAAGCCCTGACATCCACCATTTTTTAAAGGGGTTGAAGATATATGTTTGCCCTGAGAGACACACAAAGGAAGAGCACTGTCTCACCTCGTAGAAAGTGCACACAAGGAACCGACAGCCACTGCATAATTGGCTCCATCCCAACCGACATATTTAAAGGCATTGGGTAAAGGGCTATTGGTATCCAGCTCACAGTAAGGCATCATGAGCGTCAGGGCAGCTGACACGCCAAAATAAGCCACAAAGCAGATGAGCAGAGATGCCACAATGCCAATAGGAATAGCCTTCTGAGGGTTTTTTACCTCCTCGCCTAGAAGAAAGAAATTGAAATATCAGCTAAACAACGACCAAGAACTTTATCCCAACCTGGGTCATGCTGGCTGGGGCTTTCAAAGGCTTTGTGGGCAGTGAGGTGCTGTTTATCCATGACACCGCTGATGGCTTGCCCCATCCACATGGCATATCACAGCCTGTGTGCTCCCACTTCTGCTGCTCCTGTCACTCTTTCTGGCAAACATTTGTGGGGTCTTGTAAACTCAGGCACACAGACACTCTGGATTAAAAATAGTCCTTTCCCCCAAAAGGATTATTTTTACGTCCAACTATTCCTGCTATCCTGCTGATGGTGCAGCCTCAACAAGAGTTCAATAATCACAAATGATGGGACAGGAAGTTATTGTGCAGTTGTAGGGCAAGTCCTTGGGTAACCATTTCAGTTAGCATCTCCACCAGAACTACTACACAGCAAACACGGCACCATAAGTGCCCAGTTGCAAGGAAAGGCAGACTTTGCACAGCACCTGGAAATCATACGGATCTTTGAAAATCCCTCTTAAAAAAAGGGGATTCCCTCTATTTTTTTATGGGAAATTTGACAATCAAGTTGGGAAGAATGTGCAAAAAACATGAAAAAAATCTTCAAAATTCAGGCACTGATTAATTAAGAAACAGCTTTGAGCCTTGCCTGTCTTACAAAGCTAAAGCTGCTCTTCTCTGAAAGCAAGAGCTTCTGAGGTTTGGCATTTCAGGAGGATGCACTGATACGCAGACACCCATACACCTGTAAGTCAAAGGCAGAAAAACGTGTTTCTCCTTGAAGGAGAGGCCCTAGGGCTGGCTGGAGTAATGGAGCCAGCACTTCTCAAACTTCTTGGAACAAGATGCAGTACTGCTTTATCTGTCTTTCTGATGATCTCCTCCTCCCTTTGCTCCAGCTTTGAAGCAACTCAGTTCTTGTCAAATGTGAAATTATGGATAATCCTTCCTTTCTCCAAGGAATGGAGATTCCTCTTACCAGGAGAAATATGACAATGCTGATGGTTTCTTTCTCAGAAGGAGATCTCTGAACCTTTGGAGATAAAAACTCCCCCTGATTTTGAGGCATAGCTTTAGGCTGCAGATGACTCTCCAGAGGCACCCTCTTTTTCTGGCTCTTTAAATACTCCAAAGCCAGTGGAGCTTCTTAAGCTGAAGGCACTGAAGAACCCTACTCCATCTGGAGTTAGTTTCAAACTTCACCAGTCATACATGGCATCTGAACCCGGGCCTTCCCTGTTTGCCTAACTGGTAAAGCTGGACATGTTTTCTGTGGAGTCTGACCTGGTTAGTGTCACCAGTGACCATCCATGAGATTGGGCCCTGCAGGCAGAGAAGAGGGGAGAAAACTTGTTTTGTGGGTTATACAGTCTAGCTGCCCATCACAGCAGCTAGAAGTCAATGCTCAGACTCCCAGGGACTTGAACACACCCAGCACTTTGACTATTAGTTGCAGCTGAGCCAAAAGTATATTTTGGGCTGAGGTTCAGAGGGATGATGAATGCAGTGCCTTGAATTATTCAACATTACTGAAAGCCAATCAATCAGCAACCAGGTTCAAAACCGGGATGAAGACATCTTCCCTCTTACCTGTAGTAGCAATACAGTCAAATCCCACGAAAGCATAAAAACACGTGGCTGCCCCTGACAGGACTCCTTTCCATCCATAGGGCATAAACCCTCCGACACCATAGACCTTTTCCTCCTGTGTTTGACTGAAAGGCATGGCAGTGGGTTAGAAGTCATCCTGCCTAGGTGGTAGTAACAAAACTATTCACATATCCCATAAAATCCGAGGCTCGAGTTCAAAGGAACACTCTCTCCCTTTCACACACTAGCATACAAATACCAGGCAAAATGATAAGCCCTACCCACTGCTGAGCTTTGGACTGGCCTGCAACAGCCTGAGGAATGCACGGAATAAAAATGGTTCACGGTTTGTTCCCACCACCTGTTTTATGAGGCGGATAAAAATGTCTTGGCTAAGACAGGGAGAAAATAGCATGAATATTTGAATTCTTCTCCTGATATTACTACATGTGTGTAGATACACATATTCATTTAAATGTAAGCTTTTGAAAAAGCACAACATGTAATTCTGAAAGCTGAAGATGGAGAGACATGTAAACCATCCACTTCTCACCTAAAATGGACTTAAAGTGTAGGTGAGTAGACATCAGAGAGCAGTGCAGGGTGCCATAACTGTCTAAAATCCATTCAATCCTCCATTCTCAACTTCAAAATTCCCTGTGCCAAGCTCATACCCAAACCATGCTTGTGAACCTGAGGGAGGAGAGGAGCCGGCATGCCTGTCACACTTTGCTGAGCCTCATCCAAAGTACATTAAAGTCAACAGACACATACTGATCCCAGTGAATTCTGGATCAGGATGCCAGATCCATTTGCCTGTGCTGAGTGATAACACATCCTTCAAATCAAGTGACTTTGGTCATTTTTTTCAGGAAAAAGCCTTTGTAAAGATGAATTAAGGCAATTAAATTGAAGTAAATCCCAAATCTGCAAGTCTTATCAGGTGTAAGCATCTGAACTCTACTGTAGAAGCTCTGCTGACACTTAGATGAAAACTGGCCAGTTATTTGCAAAAATAGCACAACCCAAATGTGGGTTACTCAGGAAATAATGATAAAATAAACCCCAGACAGATTTTACAAAAATGGTAAGTGCCACGTGTCAAAGAGCTAGTTACACTTTGAAGCTATTGCACAAATTGCTGCTTGCATAGCAATAGCAGTAGGGAAGGAGGGGGGACCTTTCCTACAGAAGCAATTTGTTCACAACAGGTTGAATTTTTCAGAGAGTCTCAATAAGCAACTTGTACACAAGACAAACTTGACCCATGCAACATTTATGAATCTCTCCAGTTTTTGCCAAACTGCACTTCCTTGCAGGCCAGCATAAAGGGTTTAGACAGCAAGCCAGGACTGAGCTGGTGTACATGGAGATATTTAAAGGCCTTCATTCTGTGTACAGTCTCAAGCGAAAATGAACAGTTTTGTATCACTGGCAACCCTTACAAGTTCCTTAATTTTGATTTTATATAGAAAGAAAGGATTTTGACCAAGTATCAAAATGTTATTAGAAATGGATTCATGATATGCTTGCAGCGATGCATTAAAATAATCTGCAACTTGCCTTCATTTTACTGAGGCATTTGGAACAAGGTCTACAAAAAGTAAAACAGTGCCTCAAAGATACTGACGAAGTGTCCAAAGAAACTACAGAGCTATACTTGGTTATGGCTTCATATACACACCAGAGCCAGCCTAGTGTAGCCTTTAGTAGGAGGTTGTCTAAAAAGCTCTTGTCTCTCAAATTAGATGCTGTATTGGTCATGAGGCTGGAAATGGTCGGTTGTGCAGCAGGCCCCACCTTGACACAGCCTACCTCCTATCAGATTCAGCCCATCAGCAGTCTGCTTTCAGCAAACACCCAGCAAAACCAGCTTTGCCTCCAAGGTGTTTGGCAAAGGAGGGAGCCATCCCATTCACTGGTTTTCTAAATCATTCCACAACCTCCCATTTGCCACTGAAAATGCATCCATTTCAGAGCTGAGAAGAAAAGATCCAACTTACTTGTTTCTGTAAATGCTGCTGTTGGTGTAAATGTCTTGTTCGGTCAGCTGCCAGTTTTTAATAGACCCTTTCACAAAGCCGGAGACCATGACAAAGCCAAGGACGAGGATGTTGATGCAGGTGAACACTTTGTTCACCAGGGCAGATTCCTTCACACCAAAAATTAAAAGCCCTAGGGAAAAAATGGCAGATGGGCAGTCAGGCATTTCACCACCAGGAGCAGGCACTGGGGACTTGCAGAGACAGTCCAGGTCTGTTCATACTGTTCTCTGCCCAACTTATCACACCTCATTACTCCACAAAGCCAAGTAGCTCAGGTAGGTCAGGATTAACTCACACAGACGGGGGACAAGGACTCCACCCCAGACATCACTACTGCAGGATGAAACACATCTTCCCACCTGGCATGTCCCCTGGTGAAGTGCTTTGCTAACACAGCTAAGCTGCTTCCAGCATGTTCAACACCAGCTCTGGTCACCCCTGGCACTATGCTATGCCACTTAGATACAGCCTCAAATTCCACCCAGAGACCTGGAGAAAGCATCCTGGGTGGTTTTTTATAGAGAAACATGGTCTTAGAGGTCTTGGCAACATGCAGAAGTTATGAATAACATTCAACTTTCCTTAGAAGCATGGGAAAATATGAGCAAGGACCAAATCCAAGAGGACAACTACTTTAGTGCTGAAGACACAGAAGAAGGTGGCATCCTGGGAATCTTGCTCCTATTTCAATCAGAGGTAACTTTGCCAGTGAGTTCAGCAAGAGCAGGACTTCAGCCTTAAGAGCATCCATCTGAAGAACAGCACATTTAAAGGCTTTGGCAACCAGCTTATCACTAAGGCATAGCTCAGCTTCTCAGAACAACAAGCTATGGTAACTTCTGATTGCTTTTCAGGTGCCTGATTTTCAAGAATCCAAACCTTTAACTCAAATCTAAGGCAGAAGCTGAGGGAGAAGGTAAAAAAACTTCACACTGGCCTGAGGGAGAAGTGAAGCACAACAGGGTGTCCTTACTGCTACTCCAAGGCACTTCAGGGAGAGAGGAGCATGCTGTGCAGTCACCTTTCCTTCTTTTAGAATAGGAAATAAGCTGAGAGCGCCACATCAGGGAGGTGTGTGATAAAACTGCATACCTGCCCTGGTAAACTTGTAGGGTATCTTGTAGAAATCTGAAGCTCAAGACAGCACAAGCAGAAATAAACCTGTAGTGCTTATATTTGAGACTAAAGCTGCTCATTCAGCAGCTTTTTTTAAAAAAGAATTGTTTGCATTTTTAATTAAAGTCCAGGGAATTTGCTCCATGCAGGGGAATAAAGCCACTGGTAATCTGCGTAATTTTATGCCTCAGCAGTGCTAAAGTGAGGAGTCCTAAATTTTTTAATTTGTATCTGAGGTGAAAGACCAGATTCTAATTTGAAACTAGAGCAATTCCTATTATACGCAAATGAACAAAAAGGAATATCTCTCCCATTCAGATGTAGTCCTGAGAACAGAGGGCGTTATTGACGTCAGCCGTCTTCAGTGTAGTCCTAGATACAAATGCAAACCCGGATGCTAAAGCCCCCCTTGCTTATGAAGCCTGTCCCCATGAGTGCAGCTCGTGCTGTGAGACAGCCATCTTGATCAGAGTGGGAAATGTTGGGATAACCTTGTTGGGGTGACACTGCAGCTCCTGCATTATGGAAACCAGAGAGGGGTACATGAGAAGCATTAATTTTTTAGATTTTCCTAAATTTGGCAATGCTTTGCAAGACCCAGTAAAAAACCAAACCAGTAGTACATGAGGTTCTTACTGAGTCCATTTTTTTTTTTTCCCCCCTTAGTTTCCTGGTTCAAGGCACTGAAAATTGGCAGATTATCAAAGGGGGAATAAGGCTGATAGAGCAACAGAATTGAATTCTTGTGTAATAGGATTTGTGGAGGGAAGGATTAAACTTCCACACCTGATTGAGGATAACAAACCACCTTTTCTTTTATTCCTTACATAAAATTTGATTGAAGGTTTTACAAGTGTCTGAAAAAAATACCAAAAATGCTCCCCTATAATTAAAAACCTTTTAAACAGGCTATGCCCCATGCTAACTCTACAGCAGCTATATAGGTCAACCCAACATTTGTAGCAAATGAAGAGTCTTTAATATGTTGTCCAAAATAAATCAGAACTTTGAGCCTATTCCAAAAGCAAACAATGAAATTACAGAAGAAGAAGGTTCAAGACTCACAAACCCCTCTCAAGTTTTACCTGTTAGGATGATGATTATCACCACAGCGAAGATGTCTGGGTATTTTGCTAGCACTCCAGGAGCATCCATTGTCATGTATTTTTTACAAAATTCTTCAATGTGCTGGCCTATGATTTCATCAAATGTTGCGCTCCAGGCTCTGGCCACGCTCGAAGTTCCTGCCAGAGGACAGAAAGGATACAGGTCACCCTTCATGGCAGGCACACATTCCTAACAGCGGGTACCTTGCACAGCTTTTTTCCATGCAGGGCCTCAAATCAACCTTGTATGCATTCCCTGGGTGCTGGGAGCAGTCTTTGCTCTGCAGATCCAGCCCACAGCCTGTAATTCACGCCTGGCATCTGCTTTGATGGTAACACACACAGGTGGTGGTCTCAGACCACTCAGCTGACAAGATAAAAAAAATCCTTATAACTGTTTGGCTTCTTAGTAAATCTTGACTTTGCCTCAAGATACAGCCTAGATTGACTTTCTCCTTACGCTCCCAGGAGCATGACCTTCCCCCAAACCTGGTAATTTCTACTACTAAAGAGGTCTGAGTCTCTTCTCATACAGCAGAAATCGCTGGCAGCTCCAGCTGGGTGGCTGCAGCCCAGGCAGATGGACCTCGCAAAAGCCAGCCGGGCGCCAGCAGTGCGACACTGGAGCACCAGAGCCTGGACCACCACTCTAGCCCAGCTCTGTAAGCTCTGCACTCCAGCAACACGCAGGTCTGTGCCAATCTCTGGTGCTAGAGTATCCAAGCAAGAGAAATACTCAGATATAATTTACAAGTTATCTGAGCATAAGGCAGCCTACTGCAGGACACTGGTGATGATCCCAGCAAGCGGCGTGACTCCTGCCTGCAGCAAGTGCTCAGACCTCCCCCTCCAGGACTGCTGTTTGCTGCGGTTACCAAGAGCACCAAACCACGCACAGCTTGCCACGTGAGGACGGAACCTGGGGTCTCAGGATGACCAAGTCCAGGACCTCGTCTGGGCCAGAAGAGTCATTTCAGAGAACAGAAACAATGAAGAGCTACCACCAGACCGTGACACCCTTGTGTAAAGTAAGTAGGTTTGGGTAATAGCCAACTTCTCCCTCTCCCGCATTAAAGTGGCTATCATTACACTCCCTATGTCTTATACAGCACACTATATATAACAGCATCTAATTGCATGATATAATTACTGCTGTATATAATTACCTAGTTAAAAAAAGAGGTTGGTTTGGTTTTAGTTTGCAGAGCAGTGCCTCAGAGAACACTGTCAGGGGCCCCGGCCCACCTAGAACGGTTTGTCCTGACACACTCACCTGTGGGTGGGTGTTCTGGTTCCAACTTTGGCACCTGCAATCATGTCAAACAATGTCCATGCTCACCTACAGCTCAATCCTCCCCAGCAGAGGTGAGCCCCAATCCAGCTTTGCAACAGTATAAAAATAAGCTGCAGAACAGACCTGTTTGGAGACTCTTCTGTTCGCTGAGACAGCAAAGTGCACAGTGTGAATGCTTTTAAAGAGGTGGAACATCTCCAAAAGGTATTGTATACCACATTACAATTTTTCAGCTTAGCTTTGGCACAATTTGAGGGAAGAGACTATTTCTTTAGTGCTATTTTTTTTTGTCCTGGCTCTAATACTTCATGTTCTAGGACAGGAACAACAAGCTGCTGCATGTGTTATATTAGATCCCAGTTCCATGGAACTATCAACCACTTATCCCAAACTCTCTGTAACTGCTTGAGGGAGCAGGAAGAATCTGACATTCTTCCAACATTGCAAACACCTGAAGAATATCTTACTGTTCTTAGAGAGCACAGTGCAAAGGCTTGTACCCAGGAGGATTTACGAGTTCTGGGTCAGCACAACCTTGCCAGGTCAAGCTGGTTCCTGCCCACAGCACATGTCTCCCAGGAAAGCTTCTGAGCTCAGGTGCAGGGCTCACTGCAGGAACAGGTACAGGCCAGGTCACTGTGTGCCCCAGGAAACCCCAGCAGCAGCTACTCACAAGGGATGCTGTTACCCTTTTATTACCAGCTCCCACTGGCTTCCAGTTCCTGAAATGCTTCCCAGTCTGCCATAGTTCCCCAAACCCACATCATTCCAGAAGAAAGTTCAGATCCTTGTCTTGGACACCTTCTTCCTTCTGTCTAGACTACAACCGATCAGTTGCATGCCCATTTCTGTTCATCAACCACCTCCAAGACCCCATACCAGTCTTCCTGAAGGCAAGTCACTTAAGTTAATTACAAGCTATTTGCCACCCATTCTAGGACCCCAGGACTTCTTTTTTCACCCTCACAATATTTTCTGAACAGATGTCTGAGAACCTCAGCATGAAAACACCACATTGGCTGAGCCTCTTATAGATACAAGTTCCTACTACCCTGGCCCCTGGTTTCAGTGGCACTGCTTGTCATTTTCTGCGGCACAACTGAGAAAAAAAAATAGCTTTCTGCCCTCTCAACTCCTGGCTCTGAACTGCAGTATGTGCCTGCCAACATATCTTTCTTCTCCACACCCCTGAAGCTGCCAGGAGTTGCCCTTACTCACAAGAGGGGCAAGTAGCATGGGGAGAAAGGCTGGGTGAGATAAAGAAAAGAGACTTGCTACAGCTCACATCCTCCCTCAGTTGTCCTTCCTGCTTAGCACCCTTCCTCCCAAATTACAAGGAAGTCAGTTGCAAACGTGCATTTTTGTCACAGGACTGAATTAAAAGTAACAAAGTTGTGTCTGAACACATTCAGGGATCATATCTACTGATTTTTTACTGAATTGTCTGCCTTGTGAAAACACAATGAGCAGCCAACTCTGCAATAAAAACTGAGGCAATGGTTCAAAAGCCATTATGAGAGGACAAAAAAAAATAATCTCAGAAATACCAGCCTCACCCCAGATCCTGGGAATGTAACGTTCAGTATGCAAATCTTTTCATAGTGCATTTGCAGAATGAGGTTTTGGGACAGCATCCACGGTTATGTCAGTCATTTCTGTAGTCCAGTATCACAGCGGGAATTGCCACATAACTAACTAGATGAGGAGCACGGAGGAGATGATTTATCATTACCTTTCTGGAACAGAAGATAAATCACCAAGAAGCCTGTTCAATTTTTCTATGTGTAAGCCTAAGCAGAGTCCATTTTAGAAGTCTGAAGGAAATTATATGCTTTCTTTTTTTAAAAACTATTTTTATCCCCTCATTGCAGTGAACCTGATTCATAAAAGAACCACAGGACTCAGATTTCCTAAGGAGATGAGTTTAATTGACTCCGGCTTTTCATCCTCTCATTTCTTACTAAAAAAAAAGGGAAAAAGAAGGAAGACAAAAAGGTTTCAGGTAGCACACAGAGCAGAGCCAGCACAATCTCAGACAAGCAGCTGCTACATCACTATATCATTCTTGATGTGATATTACCCCCCAGAACCATGGGAATCAATCTCCAAGGTAATGCACATCCCATAAAATGCATTTAAAAGAAAACCCCTCCCCTTAATAATTTAGCATAACATCAGTTTTCATTTTAACTAGTGTGTCTTCACTCTGAACTGGTAAGTTGGTTGCCACCTTAATTACAGGCATGATGACAAACAGCATGCCCAGAATGTACTTGAAAAGACGAGAATCCTTAATTAGCAAAGTGTGTCTTAGTTTTAATATATCAGCTGAGTGGTACACTGCATGCTCTGAGCTTGATTCAAGGCCTCTCCTTGGGAGAGTCAAGGGCTTAGAAGGGATTTGGTTTGGACATTTCAGAGACTGTGAACCTGCAAATCATGCTAAAGTTAATCCTGCAGCCGTTCACAAGACAAAACTCTGATCTCCAGATACTCTAAACAGGTTTCAAAGGGACCAGGAATTAATCCTTGATCAGCCAGGAGTACAGATGCTGTCGTGTAAAAGCATCCTTCTGACAGCGGCTACTTTCTCGGCAGAGGGGACAAGCTTTTGTTCCCTGGCAAGTGTACAGCAGCCCGGGGATGCCAAAGGGATGACATGGATATTCAGAGGAAGTCACAGCAGCAATAATCCAGTTTCAGGACAAACCCTCAGCCCACAGAACACCACTCACCTTGTTGACTGACAGGAGCCACCAACAATGCACCCTGCAGACGAGTCCTGAAATCCTCAGACAGTGCAAGAGTGCAGCATCTACTTTTGTAACAGTAACGCAGGCGCCCAATAAGGCTGATCTTACACTAGGGTGCCATCCTGGACTAAAGCTAGGGTCTCACAGCGCACCCGCCATACTTACCGATAACGTAGGAGAGGATTAAATTCCAGCCTGTGATGAAGGCCCACAGCTCGCCCACAGTCACGTAGCTGTAGAGATAAGCTGATCCTGTCTTAGGAACTCGAGCACCGAATTCTCCATAGCAGAGTCCAGCCAGCACTGAAGCCAAAGCGGCAATTAAGAAGGAGATAACGATGGCAGGTCCCGCATTTTCCCGGGCCACGGCTCCAGCCAGTACATAGACACCTGCACCCAAAGTGCTGCCTACACCCAGAGCCACTAAGTCAAATGTGTTGAGGCATCGTGAGAGCCGACTGTCTTCTCGAGTGCAGTCCACGTTTTTCCGACGAAGAAGCTGGTTTCCAAAATTGATTATTTTTTGACACTCCATTTTCGTGTTTGAGCCTGCAAGAGAGATGCTGCCATCATTACCTGGATCAGGATGCCCTCTGAAACTGCATCACCGCACAGGTACACTGCAATAAACGAATCTTCCCACTTTCCATCTTTTTACATGGCAAAATGTCTCCTCTGGCATTTTACCTAGGCTTAGCACAGAGAATTAAAACAGACAAAACCAAAGCATTTTCTGCTTCCCATTCCCAGCCATGTTGCAATCCCAGGAGAGAGGGCATTCCACCCCAGCTCCCACCCCACTCCACAACCACACAATCCACAAGCAAGTGGGCAAGCCAAAACCAGAAAACCTGTCTTTCAGATTTCAGAGCAGTTTTCCTGGGCTAAGAATTTTTTAAAAAGACAGATATATATACAGAGATAAGTATTTTTATATCTATTTTAAGTCTCAAGGTGAACTAAGAAGTGAGCCTTATATCCCAGAACAAGGCACCACATGTGCTCCTCCTGGAGCACAACATGACCACATGCGGCAGTCAGTGACACCATCTGCAGTCGAACAGACTCACTGGATCATTTCCGCTCTCTAAGGTCCAGCCACAGGCAGTAGAACAAGCTGCTGCTGCCTGCAAGTGTGCAGGCTAAACCAGATGTAATTTAGGAAAAAGGACATGCAGAACCCAGTGTTATTTAACTCGGTTACACTGAGGCAAAGGCTCAAGCTATTTTGCATTTGCAACAACTGAAGTGAGAGAATGGTGTGTGGCTCCCTGAACTTCCCTGCCCCACCCAGCAGCTACTGTGGGACAGGGATGTTTAATGAAACCATGGGGCAGAGTTTCCAGCCATGGTCCCATTTCAACAACTGCACTATTCCTCCGTATGGACCCGCTGGCACAAACAGCAGCGTGCAGCAGCTTTAGTAAGCAGTTCAGGTGCAGTTCCCCTGCTTGGGATTTTATGATGGGATTAGCAGCAGTGTGAAGCAAACACCTCTCTGTGGAGGGATCCCTTAGTAAATCCTTCTGGAGTTTCTCTTCCCATGAGGCACGTGTATCTTGTGGTGCTACACCATGGGAAGATTTTGCTATGCAATTCATCAAGCCTACAAATTTGACCATCTACATAGGTGTCCACCTAACACAGCCAATAACAGCACTCATTAAAGGTCGAACCAGCATAGCCAACAGTGGGGTCATCTCCTCAAGGACATCTGTGGAATCAGTGCCATTAAATCTTGAAGGGACAGACTCCTTATGTCCTTGGACACAGACCAGGAACTTTTGACTTCCTCTTTCTGAAAAAAATATGAAGTATGTTGCTTCAAAATGATCCTTGCCTTTAGAAAATGACTAGAGCTCCTCCTCACAGTACTACCTGAATCCATGAGCACAGCATTAGAAGGAATTCCTTGCTTTTTACACTGCCAAGTCCAGCCCCAGGTGTCACAGGCAACCATGGCATAACATCACACCTTCCCTTAAAAATTTCTCGGTGCCTTATCTCCACTGTTGGAAAGCTGGAAAGCTCTACCAACACTCCTCTCTACTTACCAGCCAAAATGCTTTAGTAGGCATTTACTCACACGCTCTTGTGCCAAGAATGGATTTTCCCCACTCGGGTGGTTACCCCCATATATACCTTTAGAGATCAGTCATGACTTTCCTGCCTTCATTTTGCAAAGGCAAGCAATACAAACCCCAAAGACACAGGCAGTCCCTTGCCCTGTGTGCACCTGTTCACCTCCAAAGCACTCTCTGAGCAGCTGTATATCCCATTCGCACCCTTTGACTTGTTGCATCAAGAGGAATGATCAGAAGAGGCAAAAAGAGCAACTGCTAAGAACTCCATGGGCATCTCCTCTACCAGTGACTATTTTCCTCTCTCATTCCCCAACTTCTCACTAAAAAGTCCCTTTTGTACCATGCCAGTCTCCTCCTAGTCCTCATCTTCTTAAACAATTTCCTGAGTGGCACTGCATCAAAAGTTTTACTCAAGACCAAGGAGAGCGCTTATTCTTTCCTTTAACCTTTAAAGTAAAAAAAAAAAAAAGAAAAAAAGAAAAAAAAAAAAAATAGCCCCCCCACCTTCCCTATGCCTCTTATCAAATAAAACTGTCAGGCAAATCTTCAGGTCTCTCATAGGTAAACTCATTTATCTCTGCTCTTCTCCAGTCAATGGGCACCACCTCCTGTTTTGACAGAGGTTTCACTTTGCTGGTTCAGCACCATCTTCATGCACTGGTTCTTTCTGATTACCTGTCCCTGACCCTCCTCTTCTGAGTGTTGCTCCCACTGGCTGCAGCCATTTTCCTCAGCCCACACTTGCCATCACACCTTCATCCCAGCATAATTGTCCTCATTCATAATTTGGCAGTTGGATAATATGATGCTCTCTACAGCTAAAATGTTTTCTCTGCAACCTCAGCCAGAGGCACAGCTAGCATTGACAACAACCTACCAAGTTTTTACAAACAGATTTGGCTCCAGGCACCAAAATCACTACTATAAGACCCGCATTCAACTATTTAATGCCCATTACCATTTCTGTTCTGAGCACAGGAGTACTTTAATAGTGAATGACCCAGTTGCTCCCTTCACCACTCTTTGGTTCACACTGCAGAGAACCTGTGGAATACACAAACCTGATACTACTGGGATGAACCTAAACCTAAACCTGAGGACGCTGCATATGTAATGCACTCCAACACCTGATGGGTGCACAGCCTGCAGGAACAGCTACTCCAGGATAACCTCCCCTGTAAGATGTGTCATGCAGACAGATTCTCAGCATCAACTGCTTTGCTCTGCAAATCTACAGGCTGCATTACTTGCTCACATGGACACAACCTACAAGGATAAATATCATCTTCCATCTCAACTGCATCCTGTAGCTTCAAGAAGCTCCAACCTAATATCCACACTGCACAATTAAGCCCAGCTTCAGCAGTAGGGTTTTTAAATGTTTCTTCATTAATTATGGAAAAGGAGAAAGATTTTTATTTAGATGCAATGCTGGACTGAAGCATTCACTATTCAATGAATAGTGTCTTATATACCAATAATGGAACAGCAGTATACATTGCACACAGGCATCAATAGTATGCTGAGAATAATGTGTAGGCAGAAATAGTATTAAATGAAATTTACAGCATGGTCAAGTGACATTGGTACTTCCTCAGCTCTGGCTAAAATCCAGTGTAAAAGGTGGGAAAATACATGCTAAGAAACTTAATTAACTGAGACGGGTATTAAATCCAATGCTTCAATTTTGTCACCATAGCATCAACTACAAAATCAAAAATCCTCTTCATTTTTTCAAGACACCACTCATAAACCCTGGCTTAAATCCCTTTCTCTTGGCCTTACGCTAACTCCCCTACTAGGAGAAAGTAATTACAATTGCCGGAACAAGGCTGAGGATCTACAAGTCCCACCATGTCAGGAACTGTCTCGTCCACCAACATCTCTCAAACATGCTCCCAAGAGACAGGGATTTAGACTAATGGAAAAAGGCAGTTTTCAGGCAATCTTACAAAAATCTCGTTTGATGAACCATGGGAATTCCCAGTGTACACAGAGAGGGAAAACTATCTTCTCCCTTCAGAAGGAAGACAGACCTCATTACCTAAGTGCATTCATATGTCAGTTCACTCACGCAGTCTCCTTCCCATTTGAACCTTACCCAAATCCTTGTCAGCCAGGATTGCCTTCAGCTGGACACCTGCTCACTTCCCCAAAGCAGGGACAGGGCAGTCCTCAACTTTGAAGTGGGGTAAGGTGACAAGAAGAGCACTGCACTGGAGCATCTCCTATGAATTTCACTGCTTTCTAGGACAACACAAGTCCCAGGCTTTGCTTAACTCCCATCAGGGTGATGCAGAGATCCCCTTGAAGGGGGAGATCCTATGAAGACCACAGTGATGGGGCTACCTCATCTACACTGCCCAGTGGTGGTGGTTTGCATTCAGTCTGAAGCTCAAAGAAATGGGGAGGATCCCAGTGCTGTGCACTAAAGAAAAAACACTAGAGAAGATACAAAAAAGACCTCCGAAACAAAAGAAATCCTTGCCATAAACTGCAGTCAACTATGAGCAACGTACCCACAGAAGATGTGTTAATGGATTTGTTTTCCAAAGCTAGTGTGAAAGTCAAGACCAGTTTGACTCAGAACCAGCCTCTGAGTTTCAGGACAATACAGGTTTATTCTTTGGTACAGAAACATCAAGAAACGCCAACGGACTGGTGAAAAATAGTTTACTTCTTGCTAACTTAGTATGTTTATGGCAAGGTTTAGACATTCAATGGCCTGAACAGAGGAGTTAGAAGCAGCACAACTAAGTCCCAGCTGAGGCTATTAATAAAGGCACAAACCAGAAAGGAGGTAGGGAGATGGCCCAGCTCAGCTAGAAGCTGAGCTATGAGCCAGGGAGCTCTGCAGAGATGCAGTGCAGCTGGGCAGGGTTCACCTGCCCTTTGCACAGAGCCCCTGGGCAGGTCCTTGTGGCCCCTCGAGGTTGAGCTGGACCAACCACAGGGAAACATCATAGAAGCTTGTAGGAAATCTTCTTGAGACATTTCATCCTGAATGAGGCTACAGGTCCAGGCCTCTCCAAACCCCAGTGACCTGCGCACTATTTTGTGTTCCTCGGGGTTTGCACCTCCCGAGTTGGTACCAATCTTGCTGAGCATACTGGGTTTCATCCTACAAAGTGCTGAACACTTCTTACAAGGTAAATCAAGGTATCTTGCAGGACTGTACCACTTAATACGCAGGAGGGAAAGGTTTGTGATGTGCACTCACTCATCAACACGTGGTTTCTACAATGCCCACACGACAGGAATGGGACTAACCCTAAGAGCTAGATGGCACTAGTGACACGCTTGCTTGCAGTGTGTAAATGACCTACTGTCCCTATAGAGCACACAAAGCTACAAGGAAGAATTGCTCTGTGATGAACAAAGGCAAAAGGCAGAGGACAGGCTGTGCAGCCTGACATTATCGTTGTATAGGAGATGCCTCCAGGTGGAGGTGGACTGAGGTTCCCC